CTAGAGGCTAGGTCCCAAATCCAGAGCTGGCCATGCCTGGTTTTGCAGAAAACCACCCTTTTTGAATCCCACTGCAATGGCTATTTCATTTAGAGAAAGCTTACCAGCACCGTGTGCGCTACGCACCATGCAGCAAACAGCAGGGTTAACTGTAAAAACAGCACACAAGTAAGGACTAAGAAGGATGAAGGCAGTTTAGTGTAACCAAAAAACCCACAAAAGTGAAAGGGGAGAAAAAGGCCAAAACAAACAAAAAAAAGATCTTGACTTCAGCATGTGCTTTTTCTTGGAACAACTAAGAAAACGGAACGTTTCATGAACCACATAGTGGTCTACATGAAGGACGGCTCTTGAAAACTTAAAGAGTGCGTGTCAGAGCCAATAGAGATGTGGCAAGTATTGCCAAGTGGAAGAATTTTAAAGCAGCCACTTTACCGCGGCTGTCATGTACAAAACAGCAAATTTTGTCAGGAGGTTTTGACCTTGGCGGCACTTGAGGTCATTGTTACAGCGCTAGGCCCTGGCGTAAGGATAGCCTTTTAGATAAAGCCTTACTAAAGCAAAGATTTGACCCCGAAAGCTTCAATTTTTCCCCACCTTCTGCTTTATCAAAGGACTATCAGCCTTTCACACAAAGCCTCCCTGAAATAAGAATCTGTTCCAGATCGTTTTGATTTCCATTCTGTTTGCATCTTGCATTCTGGCGAGGTCACAGATCGCCGATGTGGGCCAAAAGGGAGAAGAGTCCATTGACTTCTGTTAAACCTTTAACAGTGTTTTGAGGTAGGACACAAGGGTCTCTCGGGTCATTTCAAATCACTGCCTGTACAGGCAAAGTGGGCTTTCTTTTGCACCCACACGGGGAATAAAGGGGATAGCAATGACAAGGGAAAACCCACAGTGCATCTTTCCACCCAGCAAAACCAACTTACTTTTTTCTCTCTTTGTCCCTTTTCAGAGTTTGCGATCCTCCCGCCTGTTGGGCCTGAGACTGGAGCAGTTCAGCCGCTGTCTTCCGCTGCTTAAATGCGTTGACTTCGTCGTCCAGGGTTTTCTTCTTGTCCTCCAGCTTCTTCTTCTCATCTTGATGCAGCTTCTTCAGCTTATCAAACTTCTCATGCAACTGGAACAGGAGCGCAAAGTAAAAAATAGTGACACAGGAAGAAAGTGCGGAAGGGTATATGCTTGCCTTGAGGCACCTATTTTCAAGTCAGTGTTTCAGTAGAAACGAGTTTCTTATAAACTCATCAGGGACTCAAAAATGGTCATCTTGCGGGATCCATGTTGGATGACCACCTTTGAGCAAGGCTATAGGTGCATTCTGCCCTGAGCTCAATCAAAAGTGAGCAATGGGGCTTCCAGATGCTGTTGGAGTGCAACTTCACAGTCATTAGTTGCAGGCTGTTGCAGGCTGGCTAGCCAAAGTTGCCCATCTGTGGACTGGATGGCCCTTTAATTTCCTTCCAGTGCTATGGTTTTAAAGAGGAGGTCTCCCCTGGTGGCCACGTCTGCCACAATCTGTGTCTCTGCAGAACATGCAACCACAGGAGGATGCAAGAGAGCTAGTCTCAGTGTTTGCAAATCTTGCAAACAGCCTACAGTATGTCAGTAATTCTGCATCTACCTCTTTTTGTGATATGATTGCACACCCAGCAGCCTTTCACACAAAGCCTCCCTGAAATAAGAATCTGTTCCAGATCGTTTTGATTTCCATTCTGTTTGCATCTTGCATTCTGGCGAGGTCACAGATCGCCGATGTGGGCCAAAAGGGAGAAGAGTCCATTGACTTCTGTTAAACCTTTAACAGTGTTTTGAGGTAGGACACAAGGGTCTCTCGGGTCATTTCAAATCACTGCCTGTACAGGCAAAGTGGGCTTTCTTTTGCACCCACACGGGGAATAAAGGGGATAGCAATGACAAGGGAAAACCCACAGTGCATCTTTCCACCCAGCAAAACCAACTTACTTTTTTCTCTCTTTGTCCCTTTTCAGAGTTTGCGATCCTCCCGCCTGTTGGGCCTGCGACTGGAGCAGTTCAGCCGCTGTCTTCCGCTGCTTAAATGCGTTGACTTCGTCGTCCAGGGTTTTCTTCTTGTCCTCCAGCTTCTTCTTCTCATCTTGATGCAGTTTCTTCAGCTTATCAAACTTCTCATGCAACTGGAACAGGAGCGCAAAGTAAAAAATAGAGACACGGGCAAGAAAGTGCGGAAGGGTATATGCTTGCCTTGAGGCACCTATTTTCAAGTCTGTGTTTCAGTGGAAACGAGGTTCTTAGAAACTCATCAGGGACTCAAAGATGGTCATCCTGCGGGATCCATGTTGGACGACCACCTTTGAGCAAGGCTATAGGTGCCTTCTGCCCTGAGCTCAATCAGAAGTGAGCAATGGGGCTTCCAGATGCTGTTGGAGTGCAACTTCACAGTCATTAGTTGCAGGCTGTTGCAGGCTGGCTAGCCAAAGTTGCCCATCTGCGGACTGGATGGCCCTTTAATTTCCTTCCAGTGCTATGGTTTTAAAGAGGAGGTCTCCCCTGGTGGCCACGTCTGCCACAATCTGTGTCTCTGCAGAACATGCAACCACAGGAGAATGCAAGAGAGCTAGTCTCAGTGTTTGCAAATCTTGCAAACAGCCTACAGTATGTCAGTAATTCTGCATCTACCTCTTTTTGTGATATGATTGCACACCCAGGAATTTGCCCCCAGATCCTCTGCAGGATGTGCAAGAGTTCTGAATTGGGGGGGGAAAAGACAAAGTGAAAAAGATTTCCTAAATAAGGAAGTTGAAAAACCACTTGGGTAAGGTTATAGAAAGGCAGCAACCTGTTTATTATGTGTATGTTACAAAAGTATGATGTTCTCTTTTTGCAAAGCATCATTTCCCTAAGAGCTTGCACGCAGAAATTCTCCCCACCGCTGTAATTTGTCGTTCCTTAAATTGTATCTTTTTCTAATTCTGCCACCGATTCATTACTGCTCTTTGCATAATTGTCCCCATGCAAACCAGACAAGAGATTACTGAAAGTATTTCGAGAGAGGGACAGCCTCCCAGCTCTCTGCTTTGCAAAGATTCCTAAAATATTGGTCACTCACAAGAGGTGACGTTGTACAGAAAAGTAGGGCTGCCTTGGTGCAAAGGTGAACTCATAGATGCAAATGCTAGTTTCATAATGAGCTTTGGTACCAGTTAGCAGGGAGGGGACTCAAGTTGTGAGACCCACAGTCAAGCTGGACTCAAGTTGCACTGTTGACTCGACTCAGGTTCCTCCCCCCAATGATTTGGACTAGAGATGGGGGTATTTGTATACAAATATCCCCGCGCAGCTGGACACAATAAGGGTCTGGCCCCTAGGGCTGGACCGTCCACTCACACATTCGCTGGTGGCAGCGGCCCCACTCATCCTTCCAATCATGCTGGAGCCTCGCTCTCTTCCTGCTCGGTTAGCCACTCCAGGCAGGGGGAGGGAGGACGGGTCTCCCTGCAAGGCTGCCAAGTGGCCAGCTGAGCGCGAAGAGAGCGGCGCTTCTGATAAGCGGGGCTGTCACAGCCGCCGGACATGTGAATGGATGGTCCAGCCCCAGGGGACATTCATGGGGACATTCAAATTTGTATATGAATACGAATACCCCCATCTAATTTGGACTCATTGGAAGCCACCCATCTCCTCCCCCCCTTTTTTTTTAAGGGGAAAAAGTTTGTTTTGAATAGGGGCTCTGACATGGGGCTCAAATTTGGTAAGAAAGGTTTGGTCTCGGATTTCATAGCCTTCTTTTTCAAAATCATCTCGACCCATGCTCTTCTGTAACATGCAACTAGTATAAAACACACATCCCTTATCCAAGAGCCGAGAGTTCAACCGAGAAACGACGCCTTCACCTCTTTTTCAGCCTCTTTCAGTTCCGCTTCTTTCTCCTTTACTCTCTGGACGAACATTTGCCGCATCTCCTCTTCCTTTTTCTGCAGCTCTCCCAAGAATTCGTTCCTTTTCGCCTCATAGGTTTCTTGTAAGCTATGGTGAAAAGGGGTATCGAGGAGGGGGGGCAATGAAGCAATATTTCAGCACTGGGGAAGCTTGAAGGGGGGCAGTCAGTAAGGGGACATTTCAAGGTGTCTTAACATTTTGAGAGTTTGCAAATCAACATCGTCCTGCCTATTATTTTATTTATTTACTTAAAATACATTTTTACTCCACCTTTCCCCTTAGAAGGACCCAAAGCAACTAGGCGAATCTATGCAGCACTGGGCCTCTGTTTGCTAGGTACCATGTTGTTAATTAAAAATAAATGTTACAGATTTCTAAACCTTGAAGTTGAACAGGAAGACTACAGCCTACAACTTGTTACATGAGATAGGTTGATACTATATACCGTATTTTTCGCTCCATAAGACGCACCTTTCCATAAGACACACCAATTTTTTAGGAGAACAAAGACTACAGCCTACAACTTGTTACATGAGGTTGATACTATATATCTGCATCTGCTTATACCCATACTTATAGCTATATAAAATAAAATCAATCATTAAGAGAATTCAATTCTGTGCTCAGAGTTCTGTGTTATAGATCTGCGTCAATGGCACGTCTTATGGTGCGAAAAATACGGTATCTGCATCTGCTTAAACCCATAATTATAACTATATAAAACAAAATCAATCATTAAGAGAACTCAATTCTGTGCTCAGAATTCTGTGTTATATATTTGTGTCAATGGCATAGCAGTTACAATAGTTTTGGCTGAATCCAATTGCTAATTCCAGCTAAAGCATATATGTTGGGCAAAATCCTGTGGCTTAATGTAGTAAATGGTTCTAGAATAGGCACACTGAATCAAGGGGGTCTAGTTAGCTAACTCTTCCATAAGTTCTGTTCATTCAAGTAGGCCTGCTTTAAATGTGATTGACTAGGCTGAATCAATGGAATGTACAAAGGAACTGACTCTCTCCATCCCCATTGGTTCAATAAGCCTACTTCAATATGATTTACTACTTTAAGCAACAGGATTTTGGCCAATGTGTTTGCTCTAGCTGGGATTAGCAACTGGATTCAAGCAAAATCATTACAAGTGCCACACCGTTAACCTGAATAAATAACACAGCACAGAATGGAGTTCTTTTAACATTTGATTTTATTTTATATAGCTGTATAAAATAGTTTTGGCCACTGAATCAATCACTCAATGGCATGTGAAATCTTATGAAAATCACAATAATTCAATGGGTCTACTCAGTTTCAAACTATGAATTGGTTTTTAGGCCTTGGGTTTTTTCTTTCATTGTGTTTTTTTAAATAAAGGGTTAAGATTATACAAATGAAAAGCGACTATCGAACAGTAGGAAAATTGGGATGGGGCGGGGCAGGCCAAGGTCCATGGAGACAAGAAAAAGGGAATTTGCAGGTATTAAACTCCCCCCCCACCCAAAACCTACATGTCACTCCATAGTTCCTTATTTCACATTTCATTGAAACCATAACCACAAACTTTGACAGGCAGTACGCAGAGACAGAAATGCGTCAGCTTTCCTGCAATTCAAAACGTCTGCACAGGAGATTTGTCCAGACAAACAATACATGTAACAATTCAAGTATTATACCAAAAACACCCCATAGTTACTTAAGAAAGTGCTTGTGTTCTTTTATTATTAGAAACTGTTCTTTTACTACCAGATCTTTCCAGGACATAAAAGTGACACTTTCCTGAACAATACCTGAACGGTTTGCTGTCTGGGTCAGTATCCTTAAATCCCATTTCCTCCAGTTTACATCGTCGGTACAGCTCATAATGACGCGTGTGTGTCTGTTCACGAAGATCTTCCATGTTGACACGGATCAACATTTCTCTCAGCTTCACAAAGTCACAGTGCGCTTCGTTTTCCACTGGAAGGGTTACAGGGCAGAGAGAGGGAGACAATCAGGGGCCATCTGAATGTGGGGGGGGGCTCTCAATACTGTTACACAGAGTTCTTCCCCTCAGTTATGGGGGGGGATGGTGTTTCATTTCTTGACAAGGAGGAGATGTGGGAAAATGACAAAAGTGGGAAGACAAAGGAAATGAGGAGGGGATATTATGTAATGGCTAAAATACGCCAATACACACCAGGAAATATTCAGTTTATTTCATCAGAAAACTCTATCCATCTCCTATGACGGAGTACAGCAAACACACTTTAAACACTGACAACAGCTCCCACATAATTGGGACCCAAGGATGATCAACTCACTTTTTTCAGGGGGGTGGGGTAGATTCAGAATACAACGGGCAAGTACTCTTAACTACCACTGGTTTTGGACTGGATATCCTTTCGGCCAGAAATCACCCAAGCTAGAGATGGACCCGAGACTTTATCTACACAGCACTTGGACACTAATTGAATTGCCATCTCTCCATCCTACAGAATCCTGAGATTGATAGTTTGGTACTTAGAATTGTGTGCTAGAGAGAGTTTTGGAGCATCTCACTCAACTACAATACCTGCACTTTCTAGCAATGAATCGTATCTCCTCCCACCAGTTCCATGGAATGACATCATGGTAGTTCAAGGAATAACAAGAGGCTGCTTGAGATAAACCTTGGGCTTTCCATACGGTGAGCACAACACATTTGAGCCAGATCTGCCTTCCTCCCAACAAGCCAACAAGTATGGTTCCCAGTGCAGTGGTGCCTCGCTAGACGATGATAATCCGTTCCACTGAAATCGCTGTTTAGCAAAATCATCGTTTAGCGAAAAGCATTTCCCCATTGGAATGCATTGAAACCTGTTTAATGTGTTCCAATGGGGAAGAATCATCATTGTCTAGCGAAGATTGGCCATAGGAAAGCCGCTTTGTGAACCGCCAATCAGCTATTTAAATTGCTGTCTTACGAAGCTTAGGTCCCAAAAACATGCATTTTGCAAGGCCGGAGGGAGCTGTCAAAATCGTTGTCTAGCGAAAATTGGTTTGCTAATCAGGGACCAAACATTGTCCAGTGAAATTCCCCCATAGGAATCACTGTTTTGCAAATCGCTATAGCGATCGCAAAAAGCCAATGTCTAGCAAAAAAACTGTCAAACAGGGTAACTATATAGCGAGGCACCACTGTACAAACATTTGACTCCAGGGTTGCAAGGGGTATAAGGCAATGCTACTCCCAAGGAATCATGGCCAGTGGCCAATTTCAGATTTCACAAGATGTCCTAGAAGTATGTCAGTCTTGCCTTTTTCGCTTTCTATCAGGCAAGGCCCAGAGAATATGGTAGGGAACAAAGACGTCTACCTTGTACTTCCACTGTCATCCAGGAGGTCAAATTCCATTCATTCATTCATTCATTCATTCATTTATTCATTCATTCATTCATTTCCTGCCTTCCTCCCTAAAAAGGACCCAAGGTGGCTTACAACCTTAAAAAGGTAAAGGTAAAGGTTCCCCTTGACAATTTTTGTCCAGTCGTGTTCGACTCAAGGGGGCAGTGCTCATCCCCGTTTCCAAGCCATGGAGCCAGCGTTTTGTCCGAAGACAATCTTCCGTGGTCACGTGGCCAGTGCGACTTAGACACGGAACGCTGTTACCTTCCCACCGAGGTGGTCCCTATTTATCTACTTGCATTTGCATGCTTTCGAACCACTAGGTTGGCGGGAGCTGGGACAAGCGACGGGCACTCACTCCGTCACGTGGATTCGATCTAAAGCTAACAGCAATGAGTACGCAAATACTAAAAAGAATCAAATACCACACAAAAGGCATAAGCAACACCAAACACATTCAGAGCAGAAAGCCACAACAATCCATTTATAAACCTTGTTCCAGCAGGCAGTCACTCAGGAAAGGTTTACTTGGAGAGAAAGGTCTTTGCCTGCTTGAAGGACAGTAAAGATGGGGCCAACCCGGCCTCCTGTGGAAGGGAGTTCCAGAGTCCAGGAGCAGCCAAAGAGGAAGCCTTCTCCTGTGTCCCCACCAACCATGCCTGTGAGACTGGAGAGACTGAGAGAAAGGCCTCTCCCGGCGATCTTAACGCTACCCAAGGCTCATAAAGAGAGAGGTGGTCCTTGAAACAGTTTGGGCCCATTTAGTGCTCTATAGGTTGAGTGAAAATACGACTCCACATCCAGCTTTATCACTTACCCTGTACTGTTCCCCATGGATACTGACGTGTCTTCATCATTTTATTCCCTATCTTAACTTCTTCTGTGCTCCCTATCACAGCAAAAGGTAAATGGGCCTAAAATACAGCAAGAGAGGAAAGGAGGGCACCTTTAATTAATCACCAAATATAGCATTTGTACAGCATTTCTCCTAGATGTTAGAAGTGTTCTGCAATACCGATAAGGCAAAAAAGAGCTAGCTCGTACCTGACCCTCTGACTCTTCCTAGTGCTCACCCATGACTGATCAGGAGGGTTTTTTTAAATGAAGATGTTTAATCATTTAAAAACACACAAACCAAAATGCATTGTTGATTTAATGTATGTAGAACCATCCCGAGGCACAGCACGTAACAAAGGTAATTCCTGTCACCTTGAGTGGCTTATAAAGTCAGAATCAGCACAGAGAAAAACAAAGGAGAACTGGAGGCGATATAAAAGTAAATGGGTGAAAAATTATAATTGTTCCAGTTATAAGTACACAGCCGTAGTTACAAAATGTATTCATTTATTATTACAGTATTTATTTAAAATATTTTTACCCCCACTTTTCTCCATAAAAGGGTTCAGGCGAAAGAGAAAAGCCGGGGTAAAAATAAAATAAAATCAAAATGAAGAGAAAGGTGTTATGCCCATGGCATTTGAGGGTCCAGACGGAGTTCTGAAAGGAAATGTTGTTTCATTGGAGATCATTTTTATACCAATAAAAATGAGATCCTGGGATCATCTTTTTCTGAGAATTGGTGAGAGGAAGATGCGGCAGGTGCTATGAAGCATCTCAATGAGTACAGTCGTGCCCCGCTTAACAATTACCCTGCATTACGACGAACCCACTTCACGACGATGTTTTTGCGATCGCAATTGCGATCGCAAGATGACGGTCTAAGTGGGATTTTTTCACTTTGTGCAGATCGGTTCCCTGCTTCGGGAACCGATTCTTTGCATTACAATGGCCAAAATAGCTGATTGTCTGGTTTTCAAATTGGCCGTCGGGTGCTCAAAATGGCTCCCCGCTGTGCTTAGGGATGGATTCCTCGCTATACAGGCACTGAAAATGGATGCACTTCACCAGTTAGCCATATACGTGTATACGGTTTTAAGAGCACTTCATGCTAATCCTTCTTTAATTCTCAGGCTAACCCTGCCATGTAGGCAAGTGTTAACTGTTAACTGCTGATGCCATGAGTGCAGAATGATCTGAAAGCTGAGAGAATCAGGCTTGCCTACAAGTTCCTGATGTGAACCAGCACTTATGGGTGTGCAGTTTGCTCCCTTAGCCATTATGCCATGCCATCTTGTGCATAAGGCATGGTGTGGTTTTCTCCTTGGGTGAGCACCCCATTCCAGTTTGAGGCCGGACCAAAAGGGGTGCCACACCTTCTGAACTTAAATCACCAAGCCCTAAATGCAAGAAATCCCTATGCATGTTTTTGCCTTGGACTTGTCACATGTTACAGCACTTCCAACAACGTCACTCCAGCCTGGCTGGCAACAGATCTTTTCCATTTAAGGCAAAATTGTATTTATGGTTAAAAAAAACCCCTGAAAAAAAATATATCATCACCCTTCACCACCCAGCAATGCTTGGATCACATTTCTAGGCTTGAGAAAAGCAAAGCACGGCACACAGAAATAAAATGTCTTTCTAACCCATGAGAAAACATCACATAAAGGCATGCCTCCACCCGACAGGAAATGAATAAGAAATGTATTTCATACAGCACTCCACAACTAAGAAGAGCCAAAGATGGCTGCCAGAAAACAACTCCTTTGAAAGGCAGAGAAAATGTGTGCGGTAGGAAAAAGTGGCCTTAAGGGCGGGGGGTGGGGTAGAGTCTGCTGAATCTTGTGCTTCGCTACACACCTGTGTCACAAAGCATTATGATGATAAAGCAGCAGATACACACTGCTCTTCTAATTCAATTATCCCTGTGCCATTTCAGGGAGACACTTTGTGTGGGCAGGACTGGGGGGCACTTCACTAGTTCTTCAGTTCAGCCTACCGTTTGCATATCTGCTATAAAGTTAAATGTCTGTGTGTAAAGGAGAGGGTGGCAAACTTGGGGGAAGGGCAAGGGAAAGATGGGAAAGTTGAGAGAACCTCCTCCTAAGACTGGTGAAAAATACCAGTTTTGAAAAATTGATATTTGCTGGGGTTAAACGGTGCAAAGGTAGGCTGAGACTTGTTTTAAAGGGCTTTCAAAATCAACATTTCAGCTGTTTTTGCAAAAAGAAAAAGAAAAAACCCACCCAGTATGGAGGGCCACAGGGCAAGCTTCTGGTCTTCATAGTTGAATGTTATAAAGATGGTTTTAGGGAGATCTTACGGAGGCTTAGGATCTGTGGTTTAAGTTTCATAGTTGATAATTGTAAATAAGAAAGTACCGTATTTTTTCGCTCCATAAGACGCACCAAATTTTTAGGGGAAGAAAACAGGAAAAAAATAATCTGGGAATTTCGGCCTGCTGAGCCAGTGGGGGTGAGGGTGGGGGAAGCCTCCAAATGGTCCAAGAGTGCGTTCCAGAACCCTTTGGAAGCTCACCCTGCCCCCCCGCGGGGTCAGAGGGGGTGAAATCACCACCTTCCGGGACCATTTATATTGTACTTTTAAAGTCCTCAGAATCCTTTGATTAAATCAGATGTGGGCAATTGTGGCCCTCTGGATGCTGCTGGAGTACAGTTCCCATGATCCTTCAATACTGACCAGGGATGATGGGCATTGCAGTCCAACAACGTACGGAAAAACCGCAAGTTGCTCGTCCCCAGCTGGACTACCCTGGTAATCTCACAAAGCTATGTCGCCTTTCCTTATATAAAAGAGAAAACTATTTCACAAAGTAAACCATCGTATTGCTGTGCTTTTTTCTTCCTCGGTTGCTTACATTCATCGTTCCGTTTATTTCTGCCACGGATTCATCATCTGTGGGAAACTGATAAATTTGCACCCCGTTGCTGACAAGCTCACTTGTGATCTTGATTTTGAATTTCGTCAGCTCACTCTTGGAAATGGCATCCGACTTGGCAATAATAGGAATGATGTTCACCTGCAGGGAAATGAAGAAGGAAGAAGAGATGTGGGCTGGGCCGGGTCTTAGATATTCAAAGCTTTACTAGGTTTTAAGTGGAGGCTCGCAGCTCCAGGGCCAGCAGGTCACAGAATCCACCTTGGGTTTTAGTCCATCCTGTACAGAACCAACTCGCGATGCTGCTCCCTATCCCCACAAAAGGTTCTGCATCTTGCAGAACTCTCATCATGTCGGACTAAAACCTGAAGCGGATACATCGCCTCACTGACACTGAAGCCACAAGTCTTTCATTACTTTATTGCTTTGCTCAGTTTAGCCCGGTGTTGTCAAGACTAGAAAAAGCTTTCCAAGCTTTCACGCAAGGAAGGGTCTTTTCACGCCTGCTGCTACTTAACACTGTTTTAGGAGGAGATGTGATGGGCTGAGCCTTGGACTGCGTGCATTCCAAGCAAGGGCTCTAGTCCTGGGGCTACCAGCCATCTCTCCCGAGACAGGAGGCAGAAGAGGGAGCATGAAAAGTCATCCTTGACGTCTTCACACATGGAGCCGCGGGATCAAGAATAGCAACCAAGTAACACCTCCCCACATAACTCCTACCTTGCTGTCAAGCTTCTTCATTGTTACCAAATCCAGGGATTTCAACGAGTGGCCTGTGGGGGCGATGAAGTACAAGCAGGCATGGATCCGGGAATCATGGTAGTTATGCAACACTCGCTTGATTTTCAATTCCTCTTGCAGATAAGCTTCAAACTGGGTGTCGATGAATTCTACGATGGGCTTATAGCTTTATTGAAAAGGACAAGGAGGGGGAGGGAACATGGAACATCTTGCAAAATACAGCAACATGCTTTTCCAACGTAAAAGAAGCCAAGGTCACAGGAACCATCCATGAGAACAACACAAAAACATCCACAAATAGTCAGCCGTGTTCTCCCCCCCCCGCCACGGTCTATCCTTTGCTCACATATTTGCACCAAATGAACAAACTTGGGGACACAATTGACCACAACCACCCTAAGAGCAAACATCTGTATTCCTAGAAATGCTGAATAATTTCCATGCAATTCCCAAGAATGCATGCGGCCGATGAGTTAAAATCCTGCTGATCATCAGTGCTGGCCCAAGACACAATTCTCTTTGCACGGCCCTGTCCCACTCCACCTACAGAAATTGACCAGACTTGAAGCTGAAATATAACTTCAATAGAAGTGATGGGACATCATCTTCCTCCACCTCGTTTGAGGACAGAAGGCTATCTTAGCACCCAAGGAGGAAGACCTCTTTTAGCCCAAGATCCAAATTCAGTTTCAGAAGAACAATATAGCAAGCTGTGGCCTTGTGCAGATTCCCCTCTTCAGCACTGGACCATTTAAAAAAGCAGATCACTAGCACAGGTGACTGAACACAGGGAGCCATCTCCGTGAGATGATTGGGGCTTCCAGCCCATGCTGCCTTGCACCAGCTTTTCAAGTTCATAGACAGTGGAGAGGAGACGGATTTCTCCTCCTGAGAATACCAAGGTCCATCACAACATCCTGCCCTGGTTAAGCAACACTCACCTAAAACGCAGGCAGCTGGACTAGAACATGCCAACACTTAAGAAACATGTCGTCTGTAAATTGAACTGCTCTTAATTGCCCGTTTGAGACCAAAGCATTCTCCAATAATTTGCATTAGACCAGGGATAGGTCACAATGGTGTAACGGTTCCAGGGGAAAGTAATTTCTCTCCCAGCTGCTGTGAGCAGTGCGGCCAAGATCAAAGGGACACAAGGATCCTGAGGGGGTTAGCGGTTGATATAATAATCCCATATTCTCAAGAAGTCTCGGGGCTCTGCTATACCATAGGTCTGTGGTACCCAACCTTTTTGATACCGTGGACTGCTTTAGCGTGCGTGGCGTGCATCTGTGCGTGCATGGGAGGAGCGTGTCTGTGTGTGCGGGGTGGGAGATCTGTCTCTGTAGCCCAGTCCTGCCAAGGCCACAACCCGGCACTGGGTCCCGGACTGGGGGTTGGGGACCCCTGCTATAAATTACAAATAAAGCCATCGTCCATCCTTGCAGCCTTTCAGCTTGAAAGGTGAGGGAATAAACCTGATATTAGTTTAGCATACATAGCCTGTGGCCCTACTGTCAGGATTCAGTCCCACCTCGAGAGGACCTTGGAGCAGTACACAACATGATTTGCACAAGGAAAACCCTATGATCAGTCCCTAGAATCTCCAGATCTAGCAGCGCGTGATGGGAAATAATCCAGCCTAAGGTGCAGGAGTACTAAGAGACTATACTGTGCTAGATGGACCCATTTTCTAGCCCTACCTTTTCCTTAAGACAGACAGGACTTGTGTTCTTAGAACAGACTTTGGGGTTGAAAACAACTTAGAGTTGGTGGGAAGGAGGAGAATCCTAATCTTCATTTGGTCAGGAACAGCCGCACACTTACCTGTCTTCTTTGTTGATCTGATCCCCAAAGCCCACTGTGCTGACAATGGTCAGTTTCAGGTGGACGTTGCTTTCCTGGAGGTCATAAGTACTGGATTTCAGCTGAACTCCGGGCTGCGAATGAGACGCTGGCTCGCCTTCAAACTTGGTATTGAAAAGAGTGTCCATCAGTGTTGATTTCCCAAGTCCAGTTTCCCCTTCAAGGGCAAAATATAGATAAGATATAAATTTTTAAAAAGGGAAGAAAAACAAACCAAAACAGTTTACAAGATGTTAAAAATAACCAGCTTCTTATTTTGTGTCTTTGGCTGCTTTAAAGAACATAGGAGCAGTCAAAGATCTACTCCGTCTAGCGTTTGGTTTTCACGGTGAGTAAACAGTTGCTCTCTACGAAGCCCACAAACTGGATACAAACAGGCTCAATTTCTCCAATCTGGGGCCATCCAGGTGTTTTTTCACTACTACTCCCATCGTCCTTGGCCATCAATAATGATGGTACTCTTGATGGGAGTTGTAGTCCACCCCATCCAAATAGTGACAGATGGAGTAAACATGTTTCAATTAATGGGGTGAAATACAACAACAACAACAAAAAGAGGAGCATTCAGATATGATCACATGGCAAAAGGAAATCAGTTCCTTATTTGTACATGAAGCAAATTTAAATACAATTTTAATAAAAAAAAACTGCAAAAAGCAAATCAAGATATGACAAAAAGTTGAAAATAGCATCAGGGCAGAGCAAAGTCCTGTAACAATCAAACTTTTAGGCTGAATTAAAACACTGAAGTCATGACAGAACAGAATGGCTGGCTCAAGGTTGCTTCTAAAAACTTGTCAAAAAATTAAAATGAATCATGATAGACTATAAAGATTTTCCAATTAAATTCACTTTAAAATGGTCTATTCATTCATGTCTGCCTCTGTCTTTTAGCCCTACAAAAGCCGCAAGACAATCTTAAATATCAATACAAATACAATAAAAACCACAAAGAATACAAGACAAAGCCGTTAAAATCAACTGAATGGTAGAGAAAACATGGGACACATTAAAGCCCTTGTGGAAAAAAGTATTTTTTTTTAAAAAAAAACTAAGCTTGACTAAAACCCACAAGAGAGGGCATACGCCAAAATCCTTTGCCAAGACCTGCACATCAGCTTCCTGCCAGCTACTACTCCAAAAGCAATGGGACACATACTGAAGCATAAGAAACATTGCTGGTAATTTTCAAAAAGTACACAGAAGCAGGCTGGCTAATGAATGTGGGCTAGTTTCTTTTGAACTTGCTTGCAAATAAGGGCCATCAACTGTAATCAAGGTTAGGACAGAAGAACAATCTTGTTTTCAGGCTAAGTGCCAGGAAATTATGTGCAAACACTTAGGGGAAAGAACCGCGTCTTTGTGCAGAAAAGTGCACAAATAGCAATACCTCTACTTTACAAGCTTTTTTTAAAAAAAGGGAATTTGGACAGAGAAGCAACCTAACTCACCATCCTATTTGTGTGGTCAAATGGAGCAACATCAACTTAGTGCAAACCAATTTGTCCTTACACTGTGCTATTTCTTTTTCTGATTGCACATTAATGCACTGACACACTTTCCCTGCATCACAGAACAGGAAAGCATTTGCCTTCGGCGGGGGGCGGGGGGGAGGCAGCGAAACCCAAGCCATTACAGTACAGAAAGCCTGCCAGCCTGTTCCTAAACCACACAAACACACACACACACACACACACACACACACGAGATTTTGTTTACCAAATATATCTGTTTGCTTATTCTGAAGAGAAAATTAATGTAATAAAATGTAATAAAAGAAAAAGAAACATATATTTGTTTATATCACCTTGTTTATATATCCTTACAAAACAACGACTATTAGTTACATATGACCCAACAAACCTAAGCAACACTGTAAAAGATTCTAAAAAACATTTCAGCAAAATCCTGGGATAATAAACTGGTGATGGCAATTACCTAAACAGTCAAGCAAACATTGCAGACATTACTATGAAGGGTGTGCTCCATGAAAGAATATCACCGGAATGAAGATTTTGTCTTCGTTTGTTGTTGTTGTTTAGTCGTTAAGTTGTGTCCGACTCTTCGTGACCCCAGGGATGAGAGCACGCCAGGCTCTCCTTTCTTCCACTGCCTCCCGGAGTTTGGTACCAAATTCGTGTTGGTTGCTTCGATGACACTGTCCATCCATCTCGTCCTCTGTCATCCCCTTCTCCTCTTCACAACATCAGGGTCTTTTCCAAGGAGTCTTCTCTTCTCATGAGATGGACAGAGTATTGGAGCC